TACTTGCTGTTAATCAATATCGTGTGAAGTTCTTCTAAGATAATTTATTTATGAACATAAATTATGTTTACAAATATTGGTAACTGATCAAATCTATCTATAAATTGTTTATAATCTTTATTAAAAATATTTCATTAAATACAATAATACCAAATTTAGATTTCATATAATAATAATAATAAGAATAAATACCAAATTTAGATTTCATCAGTAATTTTAGTTTAAATGATTTTTAACGCAGTTTAAAATTAAATTAAATTATAATGCAGTACTTTAAAATACACTAATTGAGAAATTTATCTTTTAACAATGGAAATATCAAATCTGTGTAAAGTTACATTTATTAGTGTTGAATGAGGCCTGTATTTCATTTTAATTTAATTAAAAATTTGACCAAGCTGTATTGGAGTTTATTGTTGCAGATAGACTTTGTCTGGTAGAAGTTTTATAAAATTTTGTTCAACTCTTATTAATAACAAAACCTCCCTATTCATCCATGCTTTCATGTAAAATAAATAACTTTTAAACAATGTTTAAATATAAATTTCAAACAGTAATACTTGCAGAAATATTAGAATCTAAATGTGTCGTCACCTTTAATCATTAGATAGCTCCAACCTCATTAGGTTATTATGCAAAATTGCAGTTTTTTTGTCGGTCCGAAATGTTTATAAAAACATCAACTTGAATTTCAAGAGTTCTGTCCACCACTTGATATTGTACCGGGTTTAACAGTACATTTACATTTCTAAATTGGTCATGTGAAAATTGTACTACAATTTCAATGGCTCTTACAAATTCTTGTAAGCTTTTACAAATTCTTGTAAACTCTTATAAATTCTTGTAAACTCTTAAAAATTCTTGTAAATTCCTACAAATTGTTGTAAACTCTTACAAATGCATGTAAGTGGATGATGTGCAAAGATCTTTCTCAAGCTTTCAGCAAGCGATTATCAGTAGCGATTAAATGATATTCAAAAAATGTGTATTCCATTCTTAAAACCGATATCAGATGCCACGACACTATTTAACATTGATACCACTGTGGTTTGATAAAAACTTACATTTAAAAGTAAAATTAAAATCATTAAATTGTAGTCTTATGAGCAGCTTTAAAAAAGATCTACTTTCATAATTACATGCACAGTTTGATTTAGCAAATGTAACTTACTCTTAACTTAACTTAAGCCTGAAGTTTTTTATACGAATTTTATAAATGACATTAATGTTGAAAATTTACCAATAAATTTGCTTGACGCTGTGTTTAATCAAGTTAAGGAAAAAATATCTGAATGAACTCGGAAAATATAGACTCTCCCAAAAAAGTTCTTTAAAAAACTGCAATGAAGATTGGATTGTTAAGGAAATGTGTACCTATTCAAGATATTCATATGAACTCCAAACGTCTGCAAAACTTTGTATCCGCCATGATGGGTGGCAAAAAAATGTAAACAAATATTAGATACTAAAAGTCGATCTGTTGAAATTGATTTAAATTCTTCTTTGCTTACAATTATGTGATCACAGTATTACGAAAGCCTTTTTTTGGAAGCAAAAAATAAAATTATCAGTTCTAGAGATTATTTTTGATTTTTTATTAGAAAAAGACTGTGAACTAACTAATAACTTAGAAAAATGGCCTAATCTAACTTTTGCTGATATATACAGCTATCTAATCAACTTTCCAAGTCAGTTGACAAGTTCTAGTTTAAAAACTTGCAAAGGTCTTGAATCTTACAATTATGTAACCAGTGGTCTTGTTCACAACGTTCTTGCAAAGTTCATTTTTTCCAAAAAAAAATTGAAGCAAAAGTAAAGAATAAAACACAAGCAAAACCATATATTAAAAAAGGCTTATCTGTTCCAATTCCAAGTAAGACAGAAATAGTTAACTTTTACAGTAAAGAGTCAGATAATGCAAGAGAAGAATGTAATTCTTCGTATAATTCCTGAATAAGTTATAAATATATACCTTTAGTTGCAAAACTAAATTATTTTTAACTTTTACAAAAGAGAACATAAACAACTAAAGTACCATGAACATGTGCAACTTTCAAATAAAACTTTTTCAGATATAAAAATAACTGAAGATGAAATTAAATTGATTTCAGATTATACAAAAACTCAATCTCCATCAAGTTTATAGTTTAGAGCACGTGCAGGGTTTATAACAGCTAGTAAATTCAAAGCTTGTTGTCATTCAAATATAGCCATGCCTTCTAAAAATTTAATAACGCAAATTTTTTATCTATCAGAAAATAAATTTATTACCAAAGCAACAAAGTATGGTTGTGATAATGAAATTGTAGCTAAAAATTATTTAAAATTGCATCTATTAAAAACTCAGAAAAATGTTGAAATTTTTGATTGTGGATTGCTTAGAACACCCAGATGGCCATACCTTGAGCAACTCCTAACTGATATTATGAAATGCACATGCTGTTCTCATGAAAACATAGTTGAGATAAAATGTTTTAAATGCACAAAAAGAAATGTCTTTGAACTGGTAAATAATGATAGAAAGTTTTGCATAGAAATGAAGGACGGAAAATATTATTTAAAAAGAACTCATCAATATTATTATCAAGTTAAGCTGCAAATGTTTATTTCAAATATTCCAATTTGTTATTTTATCGTGTATGATAGTGAAGCCTAATTGAAAAAATTTATGTTGATAAAGAATTTCTCACTAAAAACTTAAACAAAGCAAGAGATTTTTTTATTTTAGTTATATTGTCTGAACTCTTTGCTAAATAGTATTCTAGAAATCATAATACTTTTGTAAATATTGAGGCATTAAAATAAAGTAGCAATTTTGAGACAATATGTACTTGCAGTGAAATCAAAGAGAATATTATAATTAAATGTTTCGATTTAACTTGTGTTATAAAAACGCATCATGTTAATTGTCTTGGATTCACAAGAAAACCAATTGGAAAATGGTTTTGCCCATATTGTTGCCACAAGAAAACTAGAATTAAAAAAAAAAGTTTTAAATGAATAAATAAATATAATACTCCATTTATGTATTTTTATATATTAAAATAAAAGTTGATCAATAAGGACTACTTCACAACAAAGGTTACACAAAGCAGAGCAAACAGTTAAAATATCATTTAGTTTACATATTCCATTATCTGTTCGACTGATTAGTTTATTAGGAAGTATTCCTTGTAAAATTGTGTATTTATTTCTTAAGAGCCCAGTTAAACATTCAACATGCATTCGTACACGGGCAATCTCACATGTCCAATCAACTTCTATATGAGATAACTGAGACTTTCCTCGTGTAAAAGCAGGAAGTTTTAATTCTGCGCAATATAAACCAACAGAATCTACTATGGTAAAATCTCTGTCTGCTAACACCTGATCACTAATAAGTAGATTATTTAATATTCCAGAATTTTGTGTAATATAAATGTCTGATACTCTTCCACCCCAAGCTTCTGAAACAAATGATATTGAGCCTTGTGGAGTAATGCCAATTAAAATTTTAACAATATTATGGTATTTATATTTAGAATAAAGTTTGAGCTTTAGCTGTCAGATCTTTTGGTTTTTCAATAAAAATCTCAAAACAGTCAATATATACAACATATTTAGGAAAAAATTTTAAAAAACAGGTTGGCATTGTTCTCCTTAATATTTCTCTCTCTGGCCACTATCAAAAAGGATAGTCTGCGTGCCATTACAAGAAGCCATTTTTCAAAGATTTGTGATGTAGTTGGTTGATTTATACCAAATCTGTACGCTATATCTTGTTCCAGCAAATTTAGACACAGTTTCATTAAAACAATACAAAATTCTTGCAACTTTGTCATAGTTAAAGCTATTATTATTATTAGCTGGCACATAGTTTTTAATTAAGTTAAAAACATGTTTAAAAACATGTATATCAGGAAGGCCTGTATAAAATTGAACTTTCTTTTTGTCTTTTATTAGTTAAAAAGTAGCTTCATCAGTTTGATTTTTTAATTTTTTGTTTTTCTTGACAAGTGCAGTATTTATATTTTTTAGTTTTTGTATAATAAATTTAGATTTCATATTTCCTTTTTGAAGAAGTTCAATTTCTGCTTTACTGTCTTCTTTTAGTTTTTTAATTGAATTTTTAAACTTCTCGTTTTCTTCTCTAAACTCCCTTATAATTTTGACAGTTTGGGATTCTTCAACAATTTCTTCTTGCAAACAACTGTTAATACTATTTTCTTCAATAAGCACTTTTTAAGCATTCCTTTTCTTTAAACAATTTGATCTTTCTGAATATAAATATATTTTTTTGTTATTCACCTCCTCAAGGCCGAGAAGGCCACTACAGATGAGGAGGCTACTTAATAGTGGTTCTATTAAGTAGCCTTTCTCAACACTACCGCATATTCATTCACCAATGAATATGCGGTAGTGGTGTAGTGGTAAAACACTCTCTCAACTCTATAACTCCGAAACACGAACCTTGGCGAACAAGGCCGCTGCGCGGAGAAACAAGTTAAGCGCGGTACTACCAGGGACGTGGTGGGGATTGTACTTGGAACCTCTCGCTTATGAAGCGAGTGTTTTACCACTACACCACTACCGCATATTCATTGGTGAATGACATGACATGTCATTTTATCATCAATTTTTCTTCCTATACAAAAAAAGTTATATATATATAAATACATAAACATATTATTTTTACATTTAATAAAGAAGACTTGACTTACCAGTGATAAAATGTTCACCACAAATGGAAGCAAACTCTCTCTCTCTCTCTCTCTCTCTCTCTCTCTCTCTATATATATATATATATATATATATATATATATATATATATATATATATATATATATATATATATATATATATATATGTATATGTATATGTATATATATATATATATATATATATATATATATATATATATATATATATATATATATATATATATATATATATATATATATATATATATATATATATATATATTATCAAAGTTAAAATGTTTTTGAAAATAATATTTATAGGTATGTTAAAGTCTACTTACAGCCAGATGTAAAACGAGGAGGCAAGCGAAAGACAAAACCTAAAAAGAACACATTAAATCCAGAATTTGATGAAATTTTAAAAGTAAAAAAATTTAGCTAAATACTTTGAATTTTTTAAAAAAGTTTTATTTTATTTTATTTGGATATTTTATTTTATTTTTTTATTTGGGTGGGACCCTAATATTATCAAAAAAAATTCTTTAAATGTATGTCAGCAAAGTTATATCAAAATTAAAAAAAAAAAAAAAAAAAAAAAAAATTATATAAATGATTATTTTGTTGCATAAAAAATTTTTTGATAATTAAATTTTTATCTTTTTTTATAAAATGAAAATATATAAATAACTAATTTTTTAAATAAATTTATTTTGTTTAAAAATTTGATATAATTTTGTTTCTTTTGAGACCCAAGTTGACATACTTTGAAAAAAAAATATTTTTAATAATGCTAGGGCTCTGGCCCATGTGCGAGGGTCTTGAGCAACCCCTATATAATAGTTATTGAAAATTTAAATCCAGTGTTACGTTGGTATATACACATTTAGGGGGTGAGAGCAAATTTTCTTTTTTGAGTCACCCTAATATGTATATATAAATAAATGAAATACACACACACACACACACACACACACACACTCACACATACACAGAATAAAAAACCATATCTTACCTTTGAAGATAGTATTTACAGATTTAGTATTAGTGTTGTCCAGAATATAGTATGTAACTGCATAAAATGAGTTTTTTCCTATTATACTATCAATACTATGTCTTGAAATGGCTTATGGTAAATCTGTTTTTATTTTTATTTTACCTTTGATTTCAACAATTCAAAAAAAGACAAAAAGACAAAAGTCAACAATTCAAAAAGATAGGCTTACTTCAGCTATGAAGCCTTACTTTATAATAAGGTAACTTTCTGTTATAATAGCAAGCACCATAAGTAAGCCAAGCACAGTCTGCCAATATTTAAATACAACAAATTAAATAATTGAAAATGAAATAATTTTAGACTAAATAAAAACATTTCCAATCTGCATTGTTCTTTTTTGTAATTCTTGCTTTGTGTGCAACTTTTATTTTGTGTACTTGTCTTTGCGTGCAACTTTTATTTTGAATTTTGTTTCAAATATTTTATCAATTTTGTCCTTGCATGCTCTATTTTCTTGTTGTTGATTCAATTAAAATTGATATTATCATGTTTTTTTCTGTCTGACAAAAATCTTTATTTCTTTATTTTATCAATGGCATAAAATTGGTTTTCTTTTTCTTCTTCAGACATTTCACATTTGCTACTCTGCTGTGACCACTCATACTAACTGCTTTCAGTTAACATTTTCCCAATAAAATCAATATTAATGTCCAATTAATGTTCTTTTAATACAATATCTTAATTCATTCAAAACATTCATTCACTTGGAGTTAACATTGTTTTAATATAACCAATATTCAAGATCAATTTCAGAGCCAAAAAAATCTTTTAATTTATTTACTAAGCAATCATAATTCAAACTATACTTCAAGATGTAGACACATGGCTTCGAGGATCACTTATCAAAGATCTGTAAAAGTTTTTTTAGAAAATTTTTAGACAGTATTGATAGCATAATAGTAAAAAATTCACAATTTTTACATTATTCTATATTCTGGACAACCTTAATACATTATTGTGTTTTATTAGTTTGAAAAATTGGATTACAATGACTTGTTGACAAGAACATGTTTGATAAGTGTGTGGCACTATGATTTTTACACAAAGAATATCTTACTTGGAGAAGTTTCAATAAATTTACAAGAATATATAAATTCTGGATATTCATTAGAAGATCCATTACCTCAATGGTACAGTTTGTGTGCTAGGGTAAATTTTTTTATTTATTTATTTATTGTTGCTGTTTATTTTTTTATGTTGTATTTGTTATTGCTACAGAATTGTAGTATTTAAAAAGAAAAAAAATTTTTTTTTTTTTTTTTGTGCAAAAAAGGTTAAATTTACAATTCATCAATTCACGTTAAAGACTCTAGAATAAAACATATTATGCACTGCTTGTGGCTCTTGATTAACATTTCTTTAAACAATTAAAAATCAAAAACTTGTGTGATTGTGTTAAATCACTCTGTTAAATCATCTCTAAATAATAATATTTTCTATATAAAGCTGTGAAATAATAGAATTTAAGTTTTAGCTCATTGATTATTTTTTTTAAAAATCAGGCCTAATTTATTTGTTTTTTTAGTTAATACTTTATGCCAATAATCTTTTAAATAAATTAAAATCATGATATAAACATGTTTTGGGTTTTCTCTTTTGCAGTTTTTTGCATCTTTTTTTTTCTTTTTATTAAACATCTTAACTTCTAACAAGGCTGCAAGCAACCACTGTTAGAGTTGGAAGTTACTGGAAGAGAAAAGATAAAGTTTATAAAGTTAGATAATGATTAACAGATGACTTAAAAGATTGCAAATTATTATTTTTATAGGATTATAGGAATTAGGAAAACAAAATGAAGAGAGCGAATATTAAAGATGTTCGAGGAAAAAAATTAGATGACTAAGTATTTTGGAGCACTTAAAACACTCACAGTAAAAGGATGAGACTTTTAGTATAAAGACAGAAATAATTAGTTGAAAAGTTTTTTCAAGTTAAAAAAATATATGAGCATTTTAAAAAAAATTTCTTGAATTTGCAATATAAATTATTATGATAAAGAACAAATGAAAATCTTAGACAAGTTTATTTTGATCTTCATAAAAATTATATGTTATATAGTTTGTCTGATTTTTTTTATAACTACATCAGAGAAATTATATAAGTTATATAGTTTGTCTGACTTTTTTAATGATGTAATCAGAGAAATTATGTTATATAGTTAAATCTTAGTTGCTAAACTTAACAAAATTGTTCTGATTTGGTCATACATGTGAAGTGAATCTAATTTAAACTTAGTTGTTAAACTTAACAAAATTGTTCTGATTTGGTCATACACATGAAGTGAATTTTAACTGTATTATCACTTTACTTATTATTTGTACTTATGAGTTATCTATATAAAGTTTAGCTACCTTACTTGTGGTCATAGTTATCTTGTAATATATTTTCAAACAAAGATAACCGAAACTGCATTAGGCATATGTTTCTGTTTCTTATGTTGTTGTTTTTTTTTTTGTTTTTTTTGTATATATTAACTAACTGAGGTTATTAAGTCATGCTTATCATGCAGAGCACATTATCTGCTTAAATTTCCATGTAGCAGTTTTATAATGTATTTAATTATATAAACATAAGTTTGAATATTTTAGATAAAGTTTAAAAAAAGTTGTTAAAAAAAAATTTGCCTCATACAAAATATATTAAAATTTCAATTTATTAATATTTTTTCGTATGGCAAAAAAATTTTAATAAAATGAAATTTTGAATCGATTTTTTTTTTGTGTGTGTGGCTGTAAATGAGCTCAAAACAAATATGATTAAACAAAAATTTCAGCATAATGGTTTGATGGACCCTGAATTCTTCATTCTAGTGGATGAAGAATCTCATCATAATGCTTTGATGTATCCTAAATTATAACTATCATGCTCTTAAAATTTAAAGATAATGAGGTGAATGTGTACTAGAATGAGTTAATGAAATACTTGGCAGATAAAGAACTTGGGACTGATTCTCATAATTACAAAGAAAAATTAGTGGAGATACAGTAAACTCCCGATATTTCGAACCTCCAAGGGACCAAGAAATTAGTTTACGTTAGTAAATGTTGGAGTTATTGGGAGCATAATCCTTAAATAAAGGTTCAACGAGGTTTCAAAATTAGTTCGAGTTACTGGAAGTTCGAATTATCGAGGGTTCAAGATATCGGGAGTTTACTGTAAATTTTTTTAACTTTTTTTAAATTTAAGAAATGTTTATTAATCTGAACCGTATGTGTGTTTAATTATTAATTTTTTTATTATGAGTTTGTCTGTTTTCATATTTTTAGGTAGTTACCAAAGTACAAGTTAAATTTATTGGAAAAATTGTTGTTAATCTCAGATTTGAATCATCACCTAAAGCAAATAATGATCAGTATAAACTTGTTGATTTAACTAAAGGATCACTTTTGGTGAAAGTAAAAAGAGCACATGACGTTCTTGCAGTTACAGAGCAAGGATATTCAAATCCATTTTGTAAAGTGTAAGTAGAGTATACATTATATTCTTGTACACATTACATGAATCTTCTTGTAAACATTTCTTGTATCTCATTGTACACATTACATAAATCTCCTTGTACACATTACACGAATTTTCTTGTACACAATACATAAATTTAATTGTATATATTACATGAATCTTCTTGTAGATTTTACATGAATCTCATTGTACACATTACATGAATCTCATTGTATGCATTACATGAATCTTCTTGTTCACATTACACGAATTTCATTGTACATATTACATGAATCTTCTTGTAGATTTTACATGAATCTCATTGTACACATTACATGAATCTCCTTGTACACTACATAAATCTCCTTGCACACATTACATAAATCTCCTTGTACAAATTACACGAATTTCATTGTACATATTACATAAATCTTCTTGTAGACTTTACATGAATCTCATTGTACACATTACATGAATCTCATTGTACTCATTACATGAATCTAATTGTACACTTTTCATGAATCTCATTTTACAAATTACATGAATCTCCACGTACACATTGAATGATGAATCTCCATGTACTCATTACCTTGTACACATTACATGAATCTCCTTGTACACATTACATAAATCTTCTTGTACAAATTACATGGTTTGAAGTATTTTTTGAACAAACTTAAACTGCTCAAAAAAGATGCTTCACGTATCTAGTTACTTGTAAAAGATACAAATAAATTGAAAATTTTTTACAGGAATAAAATGTTTGATTTTTACAGGAATTAAATGTTTGATTTTTACAGGAATAAATGGATACTTTAACTTAATTGTTTTTCAAAAATTGATCACAAAATGTTTAAGTTACACCTTAGAGAAATTATTTTAGGATTTTTTTCTAAATATTGTTGCTTCAGCTAAAGAATATACGTCTAAAACGCAACGAATATATGTTTAAAATACAATGAGGCTTGCTTGAAAAATAATTTTTTTTTTTTTTTTTTTTTTTTTGCAAAAAATTTTTTTTCATGTTTTCAAAATTTTTTATTTTTTTTGCAAAAAATTTAAAAAGTGCTTTAAAATATTTTACAAAAATTACTTCAACACTTTTGACTTTACCATCGAAATAGTCTTAGTTTACACTAATCCTTATTGACTATTAACATCTTTTTACTTTATTTTAAATCAGCATTTTATTGGTCAAACTTCATCTTCAAGATGTGATAGTTTTAAATGTAGTTTCTTAAATATAAAACAATTTGTTAGGATTAAAAAAAAGCAAAGTTAAACTAGCAGCCGTTCCTGAAATTTTTAGTTAACACTTTGAATAAAGTTATATTTATTGTAATTGATTTTTATCCTAGAGAAGTTGGAACTTCTCTAGTAAAATTTAGTGATTTAACTAAAGCTTTGTTTCTAAAAATGTTTAATTAAAATTTTGATATAATTTTTTTAAATGTTTTCTTACTTTTCCATAAATTTAATTGTAAATAGAAGTTCATTTGCATCGAGTTTGTCTTTAAAAAATCAATTACAATAAATTTAACTTTATTTAGACAGATTTATAGTGCTTGGTCATACCACATTTAAAGGCTTGATTAAATTTCATTAGAATTTAATTTTATTAAAATAACTTATGACTGTTATGCAAATTAAAGATTATATTGATGATTAAGTAATCAGTTATATGTGTGTTGGAGAGTGTGTGTATATATATATATATATATATATATATATATATATATATATATATATATATATATATATATATATATATATATATATATATATATATATATATATATATATATATGTATATATAATTAGTGTAGTTAGCGTAAATTTATATGCAGTAATTAGCGGCTATTATCTAATTAAAATGTTGTTAAATTTTTAGCATTGTTAAAATAATATCATCACGCATGAATTAATTTGTGGCACGAAATTTTAGTGCTAAAATAATGAAATTAATTTTTTCATAAAGAAAAATATGTTAGTAAAATATCCAATCCATTTTTGTTTGAAAAACAATAATAGAAACATTTAGTTTTGACTTTATTTAAAGATGGCATTTTTGTGTAATATAAGCAAGCTCAACCCGGTTAGCACGGATCCTTATAATGCCTACCTAGCTGTCCCAATAACACCACTTATACAAAAAGTTAGCGTACACATCATAGTACCCTGTAATGCAAATTTTGAAATCATTTAATTTTGTCCGCGGAAAATAATTTAATTTAAATGTTCAAATTAAGTCAAATTTTGACTTCATAGTGCGCCAATAAAAATACTTGTAGAGTTTGAGCCACTCAATATAATTTGATAAAAATTGGAGCAAATGTAGCCAATAGTCACACCAAACTCTGGACAAAATTTCAGCCTGATTGGATGACTGGTGAAAGATTTATTGCAATTTAGTTGAAGTTTTGTCAGTTTTTTGCTACTTATACCTCAAAGCGTTACCAATTACTTTGAAATTCAATGGGAGCCATGAGTTGCCCATGAAATTCATGGGCAACCCATGGCTCCCTTGAGGGCCATGTATGCTTCGCTTGAATATACCAAAATTTCCTAAGGTATAAACTACTGCCAGAATGCAAAAAAATTCTAAAAAAATGGTTAAGAAGGATTTCTAGGGATACCTACATACAAAATAAAAATATTTATTTATCTGAAAACAGAACAACTGTGAAAAAACCAAATATTTTTTATATTGACAAAGATAATTGACTTAAAAAATTTAGATAAGTTAACTAAGATATCTGACCAAAATACAAAGTTTGGAGGGCCAGTCGGAGGAAAATTACTCTAACTGAATAACTAATTAGGTTAAAGAGTTGTTTTGAAATAAAACAACCCGTGTGACAAGTATCATTAGTTTAATAAGTGTGACAATTATCAATAATGTAACTTCCTTACAAGTAAATAGTTTAAACAATTGTTTCTTGGTAAGGAAAGAACTATTCAAGAATTATTTCCTTGTAATTTAATATTACCTAAATTAAATCAAGTAAATATTTCCTTTATTTTAATAGTTTTTAATTAATAATATGTGTTACTATGTTAAGTGGATTGTTATCAAATATAAATTTAGGTCAAATTTTGTAAAAGGCAGAGTTTGATTTAGTGAAGTCAAATTTAGTGAATTGCCACGATGCCAAATCAAGCAAAGAATCATGATGAAAATCGAAAGTTTGTGTGCTTGCTCTGTCTGAAGAAATGTTTAAGACAGCTTACTACTTTTCAAGCAGATTGAGTATGCCAACTGTACAAGACCAAAATCAATATCAGTGATACTCGTGTACCAAAAAGATTCTGCGAATCGTGTAGAAATACTTTGTGCAGGAAACAAGAGGGGAAAGAAGTTGCACTCCCTCCTTTGTTTGATTTTAAGTCAATACAAGTGAGACCTGAAATAAGAGGCACAATGTGTTATTGCCTAATATGCTGAATTGGTCGTTCAAAGCTGCAAGAAAAACATCCTCTTATAGAGCAAACCACTATTGAGAAAAAACCAAAGGTGCGTTGCAGCAAATGCCTCAGCCCTTTAGGAAAAGGTTTGCCTCACCAATGCTCTCAAATAATGTCAAGGAAAAACATTCAATCTTTAGCAGCAAAAGATGCCAAATCATCCGAACAAATCGCATCTCGAATTATTTCCAATAAAGAATTATCTCCAGAAGGACCTATTCTACTGACTAAAGCATCCGACTGGCCTCCACTTACAGTTACCCCTGGTAAATATTTATACTTAAATAATTTTAACATATATATTGAAATAAAGTCTTGACTATTAAGATATAACACTAGATAGATTTCAAGAAGTATATTTTTGACAAGTTTCTGATTACTTTAAAAACGAATATTGAAAGTTTTACACAAACTTACTAAACAAAGTTTATTGTAACAATAAAATATGTATGTTTTGGCTTTAGGTCAAAGTAGTGCGCAGACATCATCAAGTGCTCCGAAATTGACCACTGTAGCCCTTGTAAATGTGCAATTAACTACAGGCAAAACAACGGATTAAAGAAACTTGTTAGAACTATAAACAAAACTTCAAGCAGCAAGATGGTAGAGAAATTTCTACATGAATTTTCTAAGACTAGGCCAACAATTGAGCAATTTCTTCACCTGCAGCAACTTAAAAATCACAGACAAAAAAACAGATTCTTGTACAGTTCATGTTGTTGCTCACTGCAATGGTTTATCAACTCTTGTGAATCATGTTATTCAGTACCGCAAAATTTCTGGTGGCTATTTTGTTAAGCTCGGAATTGATGGTGGCAAAGGTTTCCTCAAGTTTTGCCTAAGAATTGTTGATACTGCGTTAAGGGATGAAACCAGCTCACCGCACCAACAGCAACCTCTCACTCATAGGACTGGTAAAGACACTGGAGTCAAGAGACAAATTATTGTTGGGTTTATAAAAGATTTGCCAGAAACATTCTCCAATATTGAACAAATCTGGTCACTCATTAATACAAATGGAGTTAAACTAATTTGGCTTTCTGGTATGAAAGTTACAAATATAATTTGTGGTCTGTAAACTCATTCAAGTTTGCACCCTTGCACCTGGTGTGACGTCAAATCCAATTGTCTTGCCAAATCTGGAAACTTGCGAACACTGGGCTCAATTAATTCAAACCTTGAGTCTTTTCAGCAATCTGGCAGGGTTATTGCTAATGAAAAGTTGTTTGGCAATGTCATTCGAAAGTCATTCATCTGCGGGCCTGTCAATGTTCTGATTTTGGAAATCATTTCACCAATGGAATTGCATCTCCTCCTAGGAGTTGTCAACCATCTTTTCAAGATCCTTAAAACTGCTTGGATAGAAACTGTTAAGTGGCCAGCTGCTCTCCACATTCAACTGAGTCCGTATAGCGTAACACTCAAAATTCATGCCGTCTTCTACCACATCAACAATTTCATCAGTCACAAAGGATCCCACTTGGGGCCATATAGTGAACAAACTGTCGAAACTTCTCATCAAGATTTTTATCAACATTGGTCAAGGTATAAGCGAAATAATAATCATCCAGAGTACAAAGAAAGATTGCTGCACTGCATAATTGTTCTAAACAGTAAGCATCTTTAAAGAACATCATTTGAATTATTAGAAATTAGGCTGCTGAAATTCATATTTTACGGCGTATAATGAATATTTTCACCATCTTTAAAAGTAGTATTATAGTGTATTTGTATTAAAAGACCCCATTTACTTTGAAAGCCGTGTCGACACTATTAGCATAAGACTATTTAATCACGCTTTTTATTGGCGTACTATGAAGTCAAAATTTGACTTAATTTGAACATTCAAATTAAATTATTTTCCGCTGACAAAATTAAATGATTTCAAAATTTGCATCACAGGGTACCTTGATGTGTACGCTAACTTTCTGTATAAGTGGCGTTCTTGGGACAGCTAGGTAGGATCCGTGCTAACCGTGTCAAAAACCCAGTGTTTTTCATTGATATTTCCTAGTTTAAAGTCCTAAAAATGCAGCAGTTTTAATTGCTTTTTAAATAAAAACAAAACATAGTAAAAAATTTTAATATTTTATCAATACTATATATTTTTCTGTAATCTAAATTTAAAAAATTTAAATTTTTATCGTTCAAAGGTTTGAGTTAATAAAATTGAAAAAATAACTAATTTTTTTAGAAAAAAAAAAAAAAAAAAAAAAAATTTGTTATTTTTTTGCGGAAAACATAGTAGCATTGTTTCAACAATAAGTGATCTTTTAATGATAAGTTTTGTTAATAACAAATCATTATATTCCAAAAATTAGTTCCAATTGTCAGGTTGGTGTTTTTTTACTTAATTCTTATTTTTTTCAAACTAATTTAAAGTGCTTAACCAAGTGGTCTGGGTAATATGAGCACTTTTGCTATTTTTTTAAAATCTCTGTGTTTTTAAGAAAAAACTATTTTCCTATTTTTAGGGATCCCTACTCATGTAGGAATCCCTAAAAATTGTTTATTTTCAAAGCTTTTGGATCCAGGGTAACTATTTTAAAAAAAAATTCCAATTTTTGCTTAAGGTGCTCATATTACCCTAATCTACCCTACACACACAGGGATGCGAAATCGATTTTAAAGGACTCCAAGACAAGGTTAGCAAAAAATTCAGAGTTTGATTACTGTGCTCAACCTGTTTCTCCATGCATTGGCCTTTTCTTACTTTATACCCTTCCTAAAGTTACGTAATTAGTTGAATAACACACAAAAAGTAGTTATTATGACTTAAATAAAAAATGCGTATAAACCAAAATCTGGTCATTCCTTTTTATTTAATTTAAATGATAAATTATAGCAACTCAAATATTATTATAAATTTTATTCTAACAATGGGCTTAGACATTTAATAGACTTCAATTGCTACATTTGTAAAGTTATACTTTCTCACTGTTTTTTAAAAGTCTTTTAAAACTGTTTTTTTTTTAACTTTTTTTTTATTAATAAAGCCATATCTCTTAGTTTAAACAATATCATTAGGAAAATGCATTACAAAAATTTTTTCATTTACTTTGGCATCAACACAGGTTTTCTTTTACTTTCAACATCAATGCAAGCATTCTCTGACCAAGAAATCTCTGACCTCTTGATTCTAAGGTTGCATTCTCTCAGTATTTAATTCTCATTGTTTTCTCTTAATAAAAACCCAGACAATGACAACCCTAGCCTAAACATAATTCGGTATATAGCTATCAATGTGCACCAAGGGGTTTGTGTATGGCGTATACTGTGATTCATCTCTTATACTCTTTATAAGCAATGTATGCTATAGGCAATGTATGGCATAAACAAACTTGCTGCACATTTTTTAATAATTTATATGCCGGAGGGCTTGCTATACCCAATGTTATTTAATGCATTAGTGCTTTTACTGGTTTAAGGTTATGTAACTGTTGGCTAAACAAATTTAAATTAATAAACTTATAGAAGTTAATAAGGGTTAGTTAGGAAACGTTTATAAGCTGATGTAAAAATAAAAATTTCCCAAAGCATTAACAGTTATTATGTATTATTTATATTATCAATAATATATATCAATATACATAATTATTATTACTTATTATTATTATTATTTATTATTATTATTATAAAAGTAAAAAATTTTCTCTGTTTTTGAGTCCAATTATATTGAGAATTATTAAATAATATTACAATTGTTATTATTTTGTTATAAATGTTTTATAATGCATGAGTTTTTGCTCCAACTTTTCTTTAGGACTCTGATATGTCCTGGCTTTACTTTTCCAAAATTCAAGACATCAGTTGCAATGGATACAGTTAATCCTATTTGGGAAAATGAATTTGTTTTTTCTGAAGTATCTTTGAGCTCTTTAAAAAATTCAACTTTACAACTTTCAGTTTGGGACTATGAGAAAGGAAGTGAACATCTTCTTTTAGGAGCTGTTCGATTGGGTTTGGGTAAGCTTGAAGGTTTAAAGTATGATTCATTTGGTGAAGAAGTTACAGTTTGGCAACATATGCTAGATAATCCTAGTAGCATGGAGGAATACACTATACCATTGCGTTCATCTTTGGACAGTGTAAAGGAGTAAGATGTTATTTTAATAAGTTTAGAAAAAGTTGATAGTTAAAAAAATAACAATAGGTCAACTTGTTAAGAATGTGATTATTAGATTTAAAAGATAATTAGCAGGAAAATTTTTGCAAGTTCTGCTTTATACTTACATAATAAATTCAGACTCATGCATGAGAAATGGAATTTTGACTTTTGCTTTGTTTATGACATAATAAACTTTTTAAATTTTGATTTGTTTTGCTTTATCTTTTTTCTCAGAAGATAAGTCAACCAATCATTCAATGATATTGACTGTTGTGATTATTTGTTCAGCCACTTTAAGAATATGAAAAACTTTTTTACTTTTTTTAATTTCATTGATGATATTGCTGTTGTGATTAATTATTAAAATAATTAAAAATTAAGGTAGTTGCATGTTGATGAAGTCAATTTAATGTAAGCAACTCTTACATTAAATTGTCGATGCTGTTTTTGAAAATAACCTATTATATTGAAAACTAGATGACATGCTAAAATAAAATATTTACATTTCTCATACACCTGTTTGATCAATGGAGAAAAACAAACAATAGTTATTAAACAAAATAAAATTACACATATAAAAAAAGTTGATGAAATTTAAAGAAGCACTTAACTTCTTACCGAGAATATTCAATATGACTACAATGAACAATATAAAATAATTTGTTTAAATTTATCTATTTTACAGTGACTATAAAGTATTTAAGCGGTTGATTTTTCATCCATTTGATCAAACAGGTGTATGAGAAATGTAAATATTATTATTAGAAATTTTAATTTTTTTCAATTTGTTATTTCATTTTTTTCCTTGAAACAGAAAAGATAATACCATTGAAATCAAGTTTTCTAAAAGATAATTTTTATTTATTTTTTATGAGATTTGGATTCTGAGCTTTATTCTTGTAAATTGAAGAAGAAAATATTTAATTCTAACTTTTAACCTTTTCATAGAAAAATAAACCAGAGGTCAATTTAGCGATTGATTTTACAAAATCTAATAGAGGAGATATTACTTAATAATAAATTACTTTTAAAATATTATTTTTTTAGGGATGAATCAGCCGTTTCAGTTAACAAAAAAGGAAATTCTGAAAAAGATTTAACTAAAAAGGTTTATTGCCTTTCTTTTTTTTTTTTATTTACTTTAATTTAAAGCCAAGTTTTATCTCAACTTTAATTTAAAGCCCAATATTAATTTTAATGTAACATTTTAATGTTCATTAAGTTCATTATTAAGTTTTTATTATTATTGTTATTATAAATATATGTGTGTGTTTATATATATATATATATATATATATATATATATATATATATATATATATATATATATATATAATTTGATACCATTATGTGGTTTATGAATATGTTTTGACATTTGCTTTTAATTGTGTTTAGCCATCTGTTTTATCAAAGTTTTTACAGCCAGATTCCATCAGTTTGGTAACTTTTACTTTTTTTTTAAATCATATATATATATATATATATATATATATATATATATATATATATATATATATATATATATATATATATATATAAAGTGTTATATATATATATATATATATATATATATATATATATATATATATATATATATATATATATATATATATATATATATATATATATATATATATATATATATATATATATATATATATATATATATATATATATATATATATATATATATATATATATATATATATATATATATATATATATATATATATATATATATATATATATATATATATATATATATATATATATATATATATATATATATATATATATATATAACACTTTATTTTAATATTTGTTTATGTTATATTGTAACTGTAATAAAGTTGAATTAATACTGAATTAAACTTTTGTTTCTGATAAAATAATACAAACTTTTAGTGTTCTCTAAGTTATTGAACAAGTAATTAATTGAATCTTGCTTTCCTGACTGCTGGAAAATGGCATTTGTGGTTCAGATTTTTATAATCTCTAGAAATTACTCTAACCTATTCTACTGTCACCCAATCAATCTTACTATTATTAGCATATTTTTTGAATCATTTTTTTAAACCTAAAATGATTTTTAAAAAAAAATTAAGAGTAATGAGATTTTTGGAAAAGCTTTAAATTTTAATTTTTTTTTATACTGGAAAGAAAATTTTTTTTTTCAGATAGGGGGAGTTTGTGTACCTAAGGCCTCCATGTACCTAGGGCAACTCACCTTTATTTGAAAACTATAAAGTAAGGCGTCTCAGTCAGGTTATCAGTTATAAAAAGATCTAAGTAAGACGTCTCAGTCAGGTTATCAGTTATAAAAATCTTTATTTTTTAATCCTATTGTGATTTGTAATCAAAAAAACGCTTTAAAGTAAGTTTTTGCCACTGGTATCATAGATTGTTTTACAATCCTAGAGAAAAGCTTTTCCAAGTTCTTTTTTTTCAAAAGGCTCTCCAAGCTTGTATATTGTATTGTTTGTTACTTAAGTACTAAAATGCTATGTTCAATAAGTTTCCTTTCAATAGGATTTCAATATAAGGTTACATTTTTCACAAGGCTATCATTTCTTGTACCTAGGGCCATATAGTTTGCTTTTAGCTAGGGTCATATGTACATTAGGGTGGAGTGAAAACAACTTTTTTTAAAAATTCATATTTTTTCCCAGATTTCTGTAATAATTATAGGAAAACTAATAAAATGAGACCAAGATGAGCAAAATTGGACAAGAACTACCCCCAGCACCAATTTCTGACCAATATTACTTATTATTGAAAGCGCAAACTTAAATTTTTTTTTAAATATTTTTTTTGAAGAAGTTTTGAAGTTATTAACATATTAGGTATGATTGTATTATCCATTAGTATTATGACCAAAATACTCACTTTTGCATTGAAAAGATTTAAAAGATATTTTTCAAAATTAAAAAGTTAATATTTAGCATATAATAAAATCCACGCTCTACTACTTTCCCCGAACCATATTTTTAAAGGTTAGTATTCAATTAATAGATAATATTTATTATAATATCTATAATAGGGTAAACTGGGGTAAAGTGAACTAGGGGTAAAGTGAACTATTTTTTTAAACTAAAAAGTTATCATGTTTAAAAAACTTTTTGTTAAGTAATTTAGCATTATTTTTGCTTAATACAACATTTTGAAATTTTTTAAATAAAAAAATTAATAAAATATAGCCTTTGTTTTGATGTAATAGCCATTTTAAAAAGCGAGTTTGGCGGAAGTTTTAAAATTACGATCTCAAACTTTGCTATGGGTTTTAGTAAATTCATGATTTGTTGTTATTAATGCGAACATCAGTTATATAATTTATATACATTTTAAAGATAATATAATGCTGTTAAAAAAAAATTGTAGTTTTTATCATAATATAAAAAAGCTAAGCTTTTAGTTTGTAAATCAATTTAGTTCACTTTACCCCTTATTTTTCTGCCTATTGGGGGTAAAGTGAACTAGTCTTTTTCTTATGTTTTTTCATCAAATATTTTTAGTAGAACTGAATATATAAATTGTAATTACTTAACTAAATTGTTTACTCTTAAAATAAGTTGTTTTTTTTTTAAATATTCTTAAAATTATTTTCAGAAATATAATATATTGAAATAATGCCAAGAAACTACATTAAGAAAAAAGAATCTCGAAGAAAAACATATGCACCTAATTTGTTGCAAAATGCCATTTCGAAAGTTAAAAATAAAGAAATGACTTCGTATGCTGCATCAAAAGAATATGGTGTTCCAAGAAGTACAATTGCAAGACATCTTCTAGGCATAAAATGCTCAAAAGTTGGTGAAGGGCGACCAAACCGATTATCTGCTGATGCTGAAAAAGATCTTGTTTCACTTTTATCTGCATTTTCTGATTTTGGATTTGGATTAGATAAAAAACAATTTATGAAACTTGTTCAAACGTATATTGAATTAAACGGATTTCAGAAAAAATTTGTTAATGGTGTTGCTGGTGATCAGTGGTTTTGTAATTTTTTAAATCGTTGGCAGAAAGAAATATCTATAAGAACTCCAGAGCTTTTGACATTAACAAGAGCCTTAGCTTGTAATAAAACTGTAATTGATGCTTGGTTTTTATTACTTAAAGCAACATTGGAAAAATGTGACATTATGAATAGACCTGCCCAAATACTAAACTGCGATGAAAGTGGGTTTTGCACTAACCCAATAAATAAAAAAATTATTTGCAAAAGAGGTATTAAAAACCCTGTATCTATTGCTCCTGGATCAGGAAAAGAACAGTTTACTGTACTAGCAACAATATCAGCTGCAGGAAGAAATTTTCCTCCATTTATTTTATTTGCTGGGAAGAATTTGTATAAAGAGTGGATGACTGGTGGACCAAATGGTTCCTTATATGGGGTGACAAAAAACGGTTGGATGGAAACAGAAGTTTTCACTGAATACTTTAACCATCTTGTTTTATGGTTGAAAGACACACCCAAGCCTGTTTTGCTTATCTTTGATGGTCACATTAGTCATATTTCTTTAGAAACTGTTAAAAAAGCAGTTGAAAATCATATAACTATTTTGTGTTTGCCAGCACACTGTTCGCATTTGCTTCAGCCACTTGATGTAGGAGTCTTTCGCCAAGTTAAACATGTATGGCGTGAAATTCTGGCCAATTGGTATACCGAGTCAAGGCTGAAGGTGGTTGGGAAATCTGTTTTTCCATCTTTATTAAAAAAACTTTATGATACCTCCTTTAAGCCAGCTCATTTAGTACAATCCTTTGCCAAAACTGGAATTTTTCCCTTTGATCCATCTGCTATAGCATCTGACAAGTTAAATCCTTCTGAAATCTATGAACACCCTTTTTCTCAGAAAACAAATAACTATAATAATAACGTCCCTCAAAACATCGTTTTAGACACCAATGTCAATGATCAGAACGATACTTGTGAAAATTTTTCTATTGAATCAACAAATAAATACAATTCACAAAAAACTATAATATCAGTAGGAAAAGACTTAAACAATGAAAAAATAAATCAACTATCAATATCAAATGTAGATTGTTCTACTGGAAATAAAATCATTAGAGAAATAGTGAAAGAACAGTTAATGGCCACAAAGGGTGATGGTCGTTCATACAACAAACGACCTACAAAAAAAATAAAAAGACACTATGGAGGTGAGTGTCTTACATCAGAAGATGCATTTAAAAGATTAAATGATGAAGAAAACGAATGCTTTAAAAGAAAGATCAAGCAGCAAGGCAAAATACAAAATAAAAAAACTAATTTATTAGAAATAACAAACACAAAAGAGTTAAAGATGAAGTAGTTCACTTTACCCCAATGTGGGGGTAAAGTGAACTAGTGGACATGTTTTTTTTGAATATATATTTAATATTGTAAAAGTAGCTTTTAATCTTAGTATTTTGTTTTATATTGTACCTAATACTTTAAATGGTATAAATTTTGAAAACTGCAAAATGTTTTGGCTTTTATTTTGAAAATATTTCCTTTAAATATCAAAAACAGTTCACTTTACCCCAGTTTACCCTACTTGTTATCATTTAGTCAGTAATAATAATTATCAGAATTTATATATTTTAAGTTTTGTTTTAAATTTCAGTAAATAAAATGTTAAGATCTAAAACAGATCATCCATTCTTTGGGTATTCAAAGCCACTCTCTGATGTGCAACTGCCAACAGGACTAGATGTTATGTGGCATATGGCGTATTTAAAAGAAAATTTAAGCAAGCTATATTAGATATCGTTTGTCAAATAGTAATACAATTAGATGTAAACAAATATATATATATATATATATGTATATATATATATATATATATATATATATATATATATATATATATATATATATATATATATATATATATATATATATATATTATAAATTTACAGAAGCCTGCTGGAAAAACCAACAAAAAGAGGTTCAACCGCGATAGAGGTTTTGAGAATTTGGGGGAAATGTAGCATACCAACTGTGTCATCAATTCCATCTTTGACAAAGTTTTTAACCTTTATGAGAACATAAAACTGCAAAAAACTCCAACAAACAGGAAAAATAAAGAAAACAAATTTCAGCTCTACAAGGAAAAGTTAGCAAAACTGTTTGATCTATCTGCATGCCATTGCAAAGATCTAAAGAAATACTGCTGTGCCAAAGTTAATATGGTACCAGCTATAGAGCACCCTTTCATGGAAGATCAAAGGAGTGAACGCAAAATGGCTATAGGTTCAATAGACAAAAAAATTACAGCAAAACTGCAGAATATCCAAAGCAAACAGAGCTCAAACCTTAATTATGCAGTGTCATTAGATTCTTTCATTTCTACCAAACCTATTACTTCAAAATGACCTGCTATCATTGAAAACACCCAGTCATTAACACCTTCGTCTTCAAAGCAGATGCGATTGTCTCTCCCTTCTCTCTCATT